CTGCCTATTGATAGGGCACTCCAGGTACATGGGAAAATTGACCTGGAATGATGAACTCAAATGAATAGTCTAGTAAAACTTAAGATTTATAGGTAAAATAAGCACAAAGGAAAATTCTCAGGATCTCCATGCCCAAAAAATCATTATTTAAAAGGAAAGAAAATCAAATTGGCATCAGACTTCTCACCAGCAATATATAAAGCAATTCAATATTGAAGTAATATTTTCATGAAATTCATGGAATAAGAAATTTCATATTGAGCCAAGGTGCTCAGCAAGTATCAAGACTATCTATAAGGTTTCTTTTGAGAAATCAGCTGGTAGTCTTATGGGAACTCCTTTGTACATAACTGTCTCCTTTTCTCTTGTTGCTTTTAAGATTCTCTTTTTACCAGTAATCTTGGGTAATGTAATTATGATGTGCCTTAGTGTGTTCCTGTTTGGGTCCAACCTCTTTGGGACTCTCTGAGCTTCCTGGACTTGTATGTCTATTTCCTTTACCAGATTGGGGAAGTTTTCTTTCATTATTTTTTCAGATAAGTTTTCAATTTTTTGCTCTTCCTCTTCTTCTTCTGGCACACCTTATTCAGATGTTGGAATGTTTAAAGTTGTCCTGGGGGTTCCTAAGCCTCCCCTCATTTTTTTGAATTCTTGTTTCTTTCTTCTGTTCTGGTTGAATGTTTTTTTTATTTCTCATGTTCCAAATCATTGATTTGTGTCCTGGTTTCCTCCCCTTCACTGTTGATTTCCTGTGTATATTTTCTTTATCTCACTTTGTATAGTCTTAACTTTATTTTGCTTCTGTACTCAATCATTTCTGTAAGCATCCTGATAATCACTGTTTTGAACTCTGCATCTGATAAGTTGGCTATCTCCTCATTTCTTAGTTCTTTCTCTGGAGTTTTGATCTCTTCTTTCATTTAGGACATTATGTCTTTGTCTTGGTGCGTTACAAGCAAGAAGGGACTGGAAAGAAGTATTCAAAGTTATGAAAAACAAGCACCTACATCCAAGATTACTATCTCTAGCAAAGCTATCATTTAGAATAGAAGGGCAGATAAAGCACTTTTCAGATAAGGTAAACTTAAAGGAGTTCATCACCAAATGCTTATTATATGAAATGTTAAAGGGACTTATCTAAGAAAAAGAAGAAAATCAAAATCATGAACAGTAAAATGATAACAAATTCACAACTCTCGACAACTGAACCTAAAAAAAAAAATAAGCAAACAACTAGAACAGTAACAGAATCACAGAAATGGAGATCACATGGAGGGTTATCAGCAGGGATGGGGGAAAAGGTACAGGGAATAAGAAGCATAAGTAGTAGGTACAAAATAAATAGGGGGAGGTTAAGAATAGTATAGGAAATGGAGACACCAAAGAACTTATATGTATGATCCATGGACATAAACTAAGGGGGGAGGTACTGGAGGGAGGGGTATGCAGGGCTGGGGAGGTTTAGGGGAGAAAAAAATGGGACAACTGCAATAGCATAATGAATAAAGTATACTTTCTTAAAAGCCTAAAAACACTGTGGAAGAACCTGGGGAATACTACTCATTAGCCTTCTAGAGCAGTAATTGAAGTGCATTATATTTATTGTGGACTTTATTTCTATTATTACATTATAATATATAATAATTATACAACTCACCATAATGCAGAATTGGTGGGAATCCTGACTTTGTTTTCCTGCAACAAGATGGTCCCATCTGGGGCTGATAGAAGACAGTGACACCTGAAGTGTGTTACTTATGTCCAGTTTACTCCATAATCTTGTTTTGGTTGCTGTTAACTGCAAAAAAAAAAAAAAAAAAAAAAACTACTTCACAAAGATAAGATGATAAAAATGGAAGCAGGCTTTCCAGTGTTTTCATGGCAATCCTAGGATATTCCGCCTTGACTTTAACCCAATGTGTGGAGATTTGAAGTTGTGTCAAACATACTTTTAGATGACTGTCATTTGCAATCTTAAGCAGTTGATCTTCTAGCACAGACAAAGTGGATTCACGTGGCTTATTTATAATTTGGTCAAGGATCCATTCCTTCCCAGTTAGGGGTCTTTTATGGTTGGGAGGTAATGCTCAGACTGTTTCGAAAGCCGAGATAGGTGATCGTGCACCAGCTGGGAGAAAGGAGGCCCCGGCTCCGTCTCTTCCAAAATCTCTGTTAGTGTTTGAAACATGTCAGAAATCCCAGTGTTCACTCGTTGCCCCATAATTACAGTTTGGGTTCGAATGCAGCCAATTTATCTGCCAACCTGAACACAGTTGTCCTTCTCCCCTGAAGTGACAGATTTATTCATTGAGCAGGTTGAATACGTCACACAAGTAAGCATGTTTGGTGACCCATTCTGTGTCCCCAACACGTGCTGCCAGTGATGTCTTTTTTCTGAAAGAAATGTCTGCAGTGGGTCAGCGATCTACCTTTAGAAACATCTCACTTCTGTGTGTTAGAGAAGACGTGTGTGCTCTGCATCCATCTCCTCACACAGCTGTGTTGATAGACGTGAATTAAGGGCATGGACTTTGTAAATGTGCTCGATAATTTTAGTCATATCCTACAAAACATTAAACTCGGGTGACATTTTTCGGCCAGGCTGTCCGGCCTTTCTTTGTGGATGACACAGTGTGTAGACTCACATTCAGAGGCGACCTCTTTGACCCGAGCACTGTGACCAGAAAGCCATCTAATCATGGCAGCTGCCCCATCCCTGCATGTACTGACACAAAATGACCAATTCAGTTTTCCTGATGTGAAATCATTCAAAGACTCGACCAGTTCTGCAGCTGTGCTGTTGGTTGGCAACAAAAGTGCACATGACACATCCTCACGAACATCACACAAAAACGAGCGTTGCCCTGTTGTCAACATTGGTAGACTTGTCGGCCTGGGTAGCATACCACAGTGACTCATCAGTCCTCTCTGACAACTGTGCCTCTATATCCTCTGCTGTTTTATCACTTCGTCTAGTTATGGTGCTCGCCAAAAGAGGAACACGTGCCACCTTTTGAACTGCAGCGTCTCCTGAAAGTTCACCACAGATGTCCTTTAGCAGCAGGCAGGATCAACTCCACCAACAGTAAAGAGCTTCTTAGCTTTGTGGTTAGCGACTAAGAATTACAGTCCTAGTGCAGATACATTTGGTGAAGTGGTAGCCTTCAAAAATTGCTTCTGTTCTTTGTGCTCACATTTTTTTCCTTTTGAAAAACTCCAAAGGTTTGTCTTTTAATGCAGGGTGCTTGGTCTTCATACCGCAAAGCAGTTTTGAAGTTTTCATGGCTGAGTTGGATAGCTGGTCACCACGTATTATACAAAGTGGGCTTGGAGAATGTGAATCACCTGTTGCAGTGAGCCCATCATTTCAGTAGGACTCTTGGTATTTTCTTTTAAATGCAACTTTCTTTCTGTTGCAGTCTTAGAGTCTTCTGCTGTCTCATCATTGAGTCTTTCCTCCTTTTCAAAGAAGCTCTCCAGCAACGTTTGTTTTTTTGTCATTTTGGCCATTGTTAGCATGAGGGCTTACTGAAAGTGACCCAGAGAAGTGCACAGTGTGGAAAGGAGGCACAGATGAAAGTGGTAAATGAAATAGGGGGCAGGTCACATGTGGACTAAAATAAGTGTCAGGTTCTGACTTAAAGCCTGCCACCAGACACAGCTCTACAATTGAAGTACATCAACTTGTCACTATAAGCCTGCCACCAGATGTAACTTAATTGTCACTTGCCAGTCACTGATAGGGTTTCGATATGAGTCTGCAAGCAATCGATTTCTTATGGTCTCTGTGTAGTCAGAGCTCCCAGCCAATGATAATCAGTATCTGCAGCCGCTCCCCAGCACTAGCATCACTGCCTCACCTCCACCTCAGATCCTCAGGCATTAGATTCTCTTAAGAAGTGTGCAGTCTAGATCCCTCACATGAGCAGTTCATAGTAGGGTTCACACTCCTATGAGAATCTAATGCCACTGCTGATGTGGCAGGAGGTGGAGCTCAGGTGGTAATACGAGCGATGGGGAGCGGCTGTGAATGCAGATGAAGCTTCACTGGCTTGCCTGCTGCTCATCTCCTGCTGTGTGGCCTGGTTCCACAGACGATCCATGGCCTGGGGCTTGGGGACCCCTGTTACGGAGGAGTCTGCTAAACTCATGCTGCCCAGTACAGCATCCAATCTCTGACATGACTGCAGGCATATGCAATGAGGTTAGTCTCAATCTAGGTGTGCTTTAAGCATAAAAATACAGGGTCTGGCACAGATAACATCCCTTTTATTACATATAAATCTTTTGTTACAAAATTCTAAGTGTGTAATTCTGTAATGTAACAGTATCACACTCAGGCATATCACATGACATTTTAGATGGAATGTTCAAATTGCTGTCCACCTCCTGTGAGACGTTCATGTACCGTCCCGACCACATTCAGTGGCATTACTTTTGCCTGACCCTGTACATGGTAGATTTCAAAGATTAACTACCAAAAAAAGTAAAATATATCATTAATAGTATTTAAAATATTGATTACATACAGAATTTCATTTTTTTTAAATTTTATAAATTATATATAAATGCTTGATTTCTTCTAGTATGGATAGTGGCTGATTGAAGTAAGTTTAAGGATTGTGCCAGCGAGTATAATATGATGGAAAGTGCAGCTTAGAAACAAAATTATTACCATCATAAATAAAATACAATTGGTTTATTCAGTGTAGAAGAGGACATTTAAAATAATGAACATTAAGATTATTGTTCTACAGTTAAATTCTAAGTAAGAAACAGTAAATATTCTGTGTGCTTAGTGAAAATCAGAAAGAAGGGTATATATCCAAATATATTCATACCAGGAGTTTATAGAAAAGGGATCATGGAAATTATTGAATCTGATTGGATGGTGAGAAAGGCCACCTGTAAATTTCTCACAGGCCACGAGATTAATAAACAGAAGCAAGAATTAACTGTCATACTGGGTGCTGTTTGCCCTCTGATACACTTTAAAAAACGTATATGTGGAACGCTTCACAAACTTGCATATCATCCTTGAGCAGGGGCCATGCTAATCTCTGTATTGTTCCAATTTTAGGGTATGTCCTGCCGAAGTGAGCACTGACATGCTTTTAAGCACTATACTTCATAAGAGCCCCCTCCCGCAAAAAGTTCTCATGTACATTCTCCAGAAGGAGATAAGCCTGTATTGGTATTTGCAGTTGTGATTGAAGCATTGGCCGAGGATCTGGATTTTCTAACGTTAGCTGATACGTGTTACTGTTTCTGCTTTTAAGTTTGCTACATTAAAAAAAAAGAACTTATGTTCCTAACAGAGTAAACTAAATAAGAGAAATGTGATTTTAATTGGTGCTATATGCCAAATATATACTGAAAAAGATCTACCATCCTCTGCCCTAGCTGGGTGGCTCAGTTGGTTGGAGTATGGTCCTGTACACCAAGGGGTGGCGGGTTCAGTCCTGGTCAGAGTGCATACCGAAGACACCCAATTGATGTTTCTCTCTCACATTCATGCACCTCCTTTCTTTCTCCCTTTCTCTCCTTCTAAAATCAATAAAACATATCCTCAGGTGAATATTCAAAGAAAATCTACCACCATCAACATTTATAGTACCAATACTGACTTACTGTCACTAAATAGTACACTTCAAGTTATTGTTGAGGGACAAGTGATTGATGTGTGTTAGTGTGTCTTTCTAACATTCTTTTTCAGCAGGGTTCCATGTAACTGCTTCTATAGCTTGCTGTGGGTCTTTTGTGGCCATGTACTTGATTGATGGTAACTGTTTATCTAAACAAATAAGCACTAACCCAATGTGCTGAATGTGTCAAAGAATATGAGCCATGCAAATTGGACTTTTAATTGGAATAACAAATTGGAAGTGAATTACTATTAGCATCTGAATAAAATTATATTTTCAACAGAAAGGTATAATTTGATATGTAAAGGAGAATGGTATAAGTAGTAAGTAGACTGGTTAAATTAACCTGTTTTCATTATTTTTGCTGTGATTATAGATGTTTGAACCTGATATTAAAAGTATGGGTAGTATCACATTTCTCTTTATCTTCTGTTGTACTTGATAGTACATGACCATTGTGTTTCTTCAAGAAAACTTCTTAAACATGGTCTAATGCTTCTACTTCTACATCTTATAATTCAGATTTCCTGAGTACCCATTTTGCATTATTAAAGAAGTATTGAAGTTTCACCATCAGGTAGCTTTGGAATCTATAAATGAGACATTTGAGGGGAAAAAAAGTCAGCGAATTGTTTTTTTCTACTAGAAGCTTATATGTAAGATAATGTCTATTCTTGTTATAACTATTTGACTCTGTTATGTTCAATAATTTATTGATATATATATATAGTATAAGATGAAAGTCTAATTATATATTTTTTCTACACTCAGTTTCCCAGCACCATGTGATCATTTCATCTATTCTTTATTGGTTGATAAGACTCCTTTTATATATAATTATTATTTAATATAATGGGTTGAGTTTGGGGGTTTTATTTTATTCCATTAATCAGTCTGTTATTGTGCTGTAGCCATGCTGTTTAATTATGGTAGCTTTTGGAGGACATTACTCTTTACAAATCTATCTCAAAAATTTTTATTTTCATGGGTTTGTTATATCAGAGAAATAGTGGAAATACTTGTCACGTTGCTTAAAAATCCTGTTGGAATTTCAGTAAGCTATAAATTAATTTGGAAAGAACCAAGAACTTCTCAATATTTTGTCCATCAATCTAAGAAGATATATTTTAGTTTCTTTTATTTGTCTTCTTTTATGTCTCAATTAGATTGTGTGGTTTGTTTCATATGCTTTCCATACATATCTTATTTAAAGTATTCTTACGTATTTTACATTTTTTGGTGGTTACAAGTGAATTTTTCCCATTGTAACTTTTAAGTGGTTATTTTTAGAGATCATTTTGAAAAGCTATATTGATTTTTTTATACATTTATTTACATCTAACTCCCTTCTGAACTCATTTATTAGTTAAAATAAAGTTATAGCTTGGGTTTTCAAGTCAGACCACCTACAAAGTGATATTTTTCTTTCCTTTTCATGACTATTGTTGACTTATTGTGCTGGCTTGAACTTCTGGCACAATAGAAAATAAAAATGATATGAATAGTATCTCATTTTAGTTTCTGATATTAATGGCAGCCCTTCCAATGCTTTACCGATTCAATATAAGACCTCTTGATTTAATATCAAAGTCCCTTTTTGTGTTAAAATAGTCCTAATTAAATAGTGATTTTTTAAAAAACCAGGAGTATCTTTAAACCATAAATCCTTAGCCTAATCAATTAATATTTTAAAAAATAAATATCCACCATTTTTATTGTTTTAAGGTTTGTTTATAATAAAGTTATTTGTTGGGAGCATTAATAATAGAGGAACTTTTTTTTAAAACAAGTTTCTTTCCTTTTTTTAACATTTTATTTATTTATCTTTAGAGGGGAAGGGAAGGAGGAGAGAAATATCAATGTATGGTCGCCTCTTGTGTGTCCCCTGCTGGGGACTGGCCTGCAACCCAGGTATGTGCCCTGACTGGGAGTTGAACCATGATCCTTTGGCTCATAGGCCCGCACTCAATCCATTGAGCTATACCAACCAGGGCAGAAATTTCTTAAAATTTAGTAATATGTAACCCCCATAGCTTCAGAATTACAGTTAATAAAGCACTATTTTTTTTTTGTTTATAATTACAAGGTCATACCATATTACACTTTGAATTATGTCTATAGCTATAATTTAGATAGTTTTTGTTAGTTTGTATTATTTAACCCTGAAAATATAAACTTGATTACTTATGATATCTTTATTTCATTTTAATGCAGCTTTCCATAAATTCCTCTTAGTAAATTCATGATGTTATATTTTTGGCGTTTCAAGATTTAGTGAGAGATGAATATAAATTACTTTATAAATTAAAATTATTTGAACTACTTGGTGTTAAAGACCATTTTTAAAACTTTGTGGCTCTTGACTTCAGGGAAAGAATCTGTGACCACACCACTCTGGACACGCCCAGATCTCGTGTGATCTCAAAGGCTAAGCAGGCTCGGGTCTGGTTAGTACTTGGATGGGAGACTTAGGGGAAAGAAAAAATACTAGCCAACAGAGTTGGTAATTAAATTTTTCTCCTTTTGAAGATTTGATTTTATATAAATCTTAGTTAACACAAATATGTAGTTTACCTATTATTTTAAAACTAGAAGAGGTGTTATATGGGAGTGTGTTTTATGCTGAATTAATAAGTAAAAACAATTATATTTTTATTATTACTATAATTTTTATTTTTGAATTATGAATGTCTGTGAATATTAACGACCATCTGCAGAATTGTTGAAATAGAAAAAACATTCATAATATTAAAGACAAAATACAGAGTAAAAGATTATTCTTTACTTGAAGCAATCAAAGGAAACAGTAGCTAGGAAATGGAAAAGGTTCCAAATTAAGAAACACTTTCTAGAAGGACATTAAAAAGACATTGAAGAGCCCTGGCTGGTGTAGCTCAGTGGATTGAGCACGGGCCTGTGAAGCAAAGGGTTGCCGGTTCAATTCCCAGTCAGAGCACATGCCTGGGTAGCAGGCCAGGTCCCCAGTAGGGGGCGCATGAGAGGCAACCACACATTGATGTTTCTCTCCCTCTCTTTCTCCCTCTCTTCCCCTCTCTCTAAAAATAAATAAATAAATAAAATCTCAAAAAATAAAGACGTTGAAGAAATGTATGCCACATCAGAAATATATCTTCTTAACTGAATATAAGATACTATGAAGTTGGCCAAAAAGTCCGTTAAGTTTTTTCCATAGGATGACTCTAGTAGTGCTTAGTTGTCTTTAACGTCACTTGAAACAGTTTTGTTAGATTGTATTGTGAGAGCTGTCATATCAGCGTGCATTTTTAAATCATCAAAATTGGTAAATTTTTGTGTAGCCATTTTAATATTGAAAATGGAAGAAAATGCGCAACATTTTTGGTGTATTAGGCTTTATTGTTTTGAGAAAGGTGAAAACACAACTGAAACACAGAAAAAGATTTGTGCAGTATGTCAAGGAGGTGCTGTGACTGGTCCAATGTGTCAACAGTGGTTTGTGAAGTTTCTTGGTGCTATTGATATTTTGGCCAAATAATGCTTTGCTCTTGGGCCGTGTTACACATTGGAAGCTGTTAGCAGCATCTGGCCTCTGCCCACTAGACGGGAATAGCAGGAGATAGCCGACATACTGAAAATACCCAAATCAATAAAGTTATTGGTGAAAATGAAAGATGTGTCTTTTATTTTATGGAAATAACTAAATGGACTTTTTGGCCAAACCAATAGAACATTGTGTGCTAAGACCTAGACTGAGTCCATACATCTCTTAAATTAAAATAAAAAAAAAACAACTATGCTTTTTGTAGGCTCATTCTGGGGCTTAACACAGTGAATATTAAAAAGTAGGTCATGAAGCCCTGGCTGGTGTAGCTCAGTGGATTGAGCATGGGCCTGAGAAGCAAAGCTTCGCCGGTTCAATTCCCAGTCAGGGCACATGCCTGGGTTGCAGGTCAGTTCCCCAGTAGGGAGCATGCGAGAGGCAACCAAACATTGATGTTTTTCTCCCACTCTTTCTTCTTCCCTCCCCCTCTCTCTAAAAATAAAGAAGATATATTTTTTAAAGTAGGTCATGAAGAACCTCAGTTAAAATCAATGATAGATTCCTGTGTAGAAGGTTCTAATACATACTAATGGTGTCATTCCTCACTAGCAGTTATCCCAACATATGACTTTTATGCCACACAATCCATTTTGATATCGTAGTGAAATGCATATTCCATTTGTGATGGTTACTTTTATGTGTCAGCTTGGCTAGGCCATGGTGCCCATATAGTTGGTCAAACAGTATTCTGAATATTTTTGTGAGGCTGTTTTGGGGTGAGATTAATATTTAAATTCATCATGTCTGAGTAAAGGAGATTGCCCTCCATAATGTAGATGGACCTCATCCAGTCAGTTGAAGGCCTGGATAGAACAAAAGATTGACCTTAACAAAGAGCATCCCCTCCCTCACACCCACCCCACTGCAAGAGCAGGAGAT